GAGAGAGGCGGGCGGCGGGCAGGGCTCGTGCGCACGTTAATCAGCCTGGGGGGGGGCTGAGGTAAGGTACGGCTTTATTAAAAATACAAGGTCTCTGAAAAAAATCAGAACAGTTATTTTAATGTACAAACTCAATCGCTGCAGCAGGTCTGGGTACTTTTAACTGGAATCCTAAGAAAACAAAACAAGGGGGAGGGGGGGTGGGGAACAGCCCTTCCGACCACTTTATTTTTTTCCACTTAAAACAAGCCACGAGGAGGACGACGGGGTTCTACGTGTACACAACACAAGGCAGTCACAGTCCCACCGTGCACACTAGAGGCAATAACTTTGCTGCTGAAATTTCTTAAAACTTACCAAACAAAAAGCTGAATAACACACTGGGACTGAGCTGCTTCCCGGGTATCATGATTGCTAAAAGGAAAACGTTTCATCTAAACCCAGAAATACGCAAGAACTACATGCAGTAGTATAAATTTCACGGACATATTACAAATACTCTGAAATTAATCTAGGGGAGGGAAAAGGAAAAAAAAAAACAACACTTGCTACAGACACCATAATACACAATAAATTTAGATAATTTAAAAATAAAAAAAGGCAAGAGGCAGCATTTCAGCAGCAAAGTGCTCAATAAAAAGTATATTGTAAAGGGACAGTACAAGGGAAGAGGGAGACAGCAGGCAGGGAAAGGTCTCAGAGGAAATACGGTGTGGTTGTTCTAGGAGGAATGACACGTTCTGAATCTGGAACTGCGCGGAATAGCTTTGGTTCTCGTGTATTTACATCTTTAAAGACCATGATTGACGCAATATTTCCACAGCGGTAGCAGTAATTTGGAGCAGACCATACCGTTACCAATTTCTCATCAAACATGAATTTATAGCCTTCATGAACTAGCTGGTGCGCTCTGCAGATGAGTTTTAAGTTGTTGATGTGAACAAACTGCAAAGGAAAAAAGGAAGGTCAGTTTTCTCTGAGCAGCTGCACGCCATGGCCCACACAATCCTCTCCCAGCTACAGCCCTGGCACGCGCACACCATGAAATGGTTAAAAAGAAGCTTTTTCCACCCAGTGCACCGAAAAAAAAATTTGGGTTTTGAGAGCTGAGCAGTGAGCAACACCTATGAAATACAGGTGACAGCTGCAATGCCCAAGCCTGTGCAATCCACAAGGCTCGATCCTCCCTGAACGTGCTGTGGCAAGGCCAGAGCGACAACATGAGGCTCCAGCGCGGCATTTGTAACGCAGCTACTTCAGGAGCCTGGGAAGGCCAGTGTGTGTCAGCCCCCAGAGTTCTGCTTGCCATTTTCCAAAGTAACAAAAACTAAGAATTGTTAAGAAAAATGGTATTTTTTTTCTCCTAAATCCTTAGAAAAGTATTCTATAGAAACCCCAGTGATACTAGTTAGTCTCACTGTGTTACACTCTTTAAAAGCAAGATCAGTATTACCACAGCTGGCAGTTGTATTTATGCTTTTAAGTTCAAATGGCTCATATTTCAGGTTGTCTTGAGCGAACCTTCTCCATCACCACAACTTACTCGCAGCGGTCGTACAAGGAAAGTTCATTGTCTTGCAGGGTCCTCGACCCATTTGTCACTAGGGTAAATACCAAACTGAGCGCGACGCTTCAATTTATCTCATACATGCAGTTACTTTATGTTGCACACAACAGCATCATTACCTCGTTCGTCACCTTTGCACCGAAGAGCCAGCCTGCTCCTCGCGGACTGATCGCCCACGTATCGACATCTTCTGGATCAGACCAAACAAGGTCACAGAAGGCGCCTTTGTGAGGAATTTCTTGATTACGTTCGATGGTTCGAATTTGATCGAGTGTCTTGATGTCTGGAGAGAGGCCACCGTGCACACAGAGAATCTGCTCATCTATTAACTGGAGAAAAAAAGGCACATGTGCGACATACTCACTATTTAATCCAGGCCAGAACGCTACCAGTGTGACCCTTAAAGGTCACTAATTCTCACCGTCACACTTAGACAATCTATGTGTATTTTTGTAATGTGGTGTTTACACTTACAGCTGCTATTGTGAGCATGTCAAAGACTTTGGTACAGTATCTCCAAGCATTAGCATTTCCATATTTGGTTTGGCACTCATCTGTTAAACAGAGAATTTTTTCTTCTTAATGGATCAGAAGGCATTCAGACAATAAAATCAAGCACAGCAGAACTCGAAAGTCAGACGTATAGCAAAAACTCTATCGGGAGCACCGCTAAGCAGTCCGCCGCTTGCCGCAGCTGGCCGGCTGGGAACTGACCCTTGCCTAGACCAGCAGAGTCCTTAAATTAGCAGATTTTATACAGGAGAATTGAGGCAGAAAGCGTGAACCGAGCAGGGCTGGTGGAAGATACTCTTACCACAAACGGGAGTTACAGGGGCTTTGTTTAAAGCTACATGAACGCGGCAAGAAACCTGACGGGCAGGCATTTCTTGAGCAACCTCTGAACATTCGTACTTGATGCGTTATCCAAAAGAAGTTATGTTACAGACGCTATTCTTTGTGGCAGGTGTTAAATACTTTCCAGGATTTCCTCAGGTTTTATCAAAGCCTCACACAACAAGAAGCTTCCAAGCAATTTAATTCCCTCAGTTTTCCAAACAGTTTTTCTGCTGCTTATTTCTTGCCAGTGGCATTTTCCCAGAAGCTCACTGTTGACAACAAATGAGTTCCACAGCAAACTCTATGTGTGAAGCTGATTTTCAGTTATACTGAAACTTAAGAGGAATTACAGCAACACCATGACTTCATGTAGAACCTTTCATTACAAGATACCAAAGCACATTCTGTATAAATACATGCTCTGTCTCTAAAATTGAACATGGCACCAAAAAAAAAAAACCAAACCAGACACCCAGATGCTGGAGGAAAAGAGCAGCAAGATCTGGACTAACACACATTTCTACTTCATGAACACGATGATCACGTTACAAATGATAACACTCAAATTTTACTGAGCCCACTCCCCGTCCAGTCCCAGGAAAGCCCCAGGTAGCGCTGCATTCAGAACAGGTTTCCCAAGGGAAAGATGCCATACTCGTTTATTACGCGTTAGCCCCCCTTCAGAAACCATTTGGGTAAAGACTTACCATAAAATCCATACACTTGTGTTATCTGCCTGCTTTCATGATTGCCTCGTAACAGTGTGATACGATCAGGCCACTTAGCTTTTAGTGCAAGAAGGTAAGTGAAAGTCTCAAGACTATAATAACCTCTATCTACAAAGTCACCCTGCAAGTCAAAAAAATATTCGTAAATGGAAAAACAGTCAAATGGAAAAACGCAAAGTGATACATCCATTCTAAATTTCTCGCAGTGCATAAAGAAAGCTAACGAATGCTGAAGGGACGCCGGGATCTGCTCGGATCTAGGAGAACACGTTCTTTGGTCGCTCGGACCTGCAGCTTTGGGCCATGCTCACCCAGAACTGCCCCGGCACGCGACCTGATGGGCCCTCGGGACGTTCCGGCTAACGGGGTGCTGCTGCCGCACCGGCACGGCTCTGCTTGACCGGCACCGCGCTCCGCTCTTCCTGCCTCACTTCGCACCACGTAACTCGTACCTTACTCAACAAAAGAAAACCCGTACGTGGCAGGCGAACGGCAAAAGCAAACGCGGCGCCGGCGGGCAAGGTGTGAGACTCGACGGGCGTATCGGGATTTAAGCTTTAAACTCATTTTTTGAGCCCCGGCTGAGCGAGCGGGGCGAGCCCCGCCTGCGCGTACCATGAAGATGTAGTTGGTGTCGGGGACCTGACCGCCCGTCCTGAACAGCTCGCACAGGTCGTAGAACTGCGGAGAGAAGCAGGAGCGTGAGGGCTGCGGGCACCGGCACCG